TTCGGCCGTTCCGGACGCAACGGTGCTGCCCGTTTTTCGAAATTCTGCTCCGATTTTTCTGAAACAGAAAATCAAAATTATTTAGAAGGTGAAAATGACCTTTGACGAGTCAACTTCATCTTCCGGAGCTATGATTATGCTCACGGCTACCAACTACACGCTATGGAAACCTCGGATGGAAGATTTCCTTAGCTGTAAAGACCTTTTTGATCCAATAGAGATGAAAGGTATTAATCCTGACCCGGCTAAGTCAACGGAATGGAAGAAAATTAATAGAAAAACTATTGGTCAAATCCGACAATGGATTGACCATAGTGTCTTCCACCATGTTGCACAAGAAACCGATGCTTATGCCCTTTGGAAAAAGTTAGAAGATATGTACCAGGCCAAGACCGCTAGGAACAAGGCCCTACTGATGAGGCGTCTTGTCAATATGAAGCTCAAAAGTGGAACTTCTGTTGCCGAACATACTAGTCAATTTCAGAGTCTGGTAAATCAACTATCTTGTGTAGAAATGCCACTTGGAGATGAAATGCAATCTCTACTGCTTCTTAGTTCCCTTCCTGATAGTTGGGAGACACTAGTTGTTACTCTCAGCAACTCAGCCCCAGATGGCAAACTTACCATGTCTGTGGTCAAGGATGCACTGTTCAATGAGGAGGCAAGAAGGAAAGACATGAGCACAGATGAGACTCATGCCCTTGTGACAGAGAATAGAGGAAGATCACAAGGAAAACAACAAAGAAACAGTAGAGGGAAATGGCAAAGCAGGGGCAAAAGTCGGGGGAGATCATCAGATGGCCGGAAACCTTCTTATACCTGCCACCATTGCGGTATAGAGGGTCACATGAAGAAGAATTGCTACAAATTGCTAGAGGAGCGAGGCAAGAGCAATTCTCAAGCGAAGAGCAAGGGTGGTGAAGCGCTCATCACAATCTCAGGTGATGTGGCGTATTGTACTATCAATGATGAAACATGCCTTCACGTCTCAAGAGAGGACACTGAATGGGTGGTAGATACTGCAGCATCCTACCATGTTACTCCCCACAGGTACTACTTCACAACTTACAAAGCTGGAGACTTTGGAGCAGTGAAGATGGGCAATTCCAGTTCATCTGAAATAGCTGGAATTGGTGATGTACAAATAAAGACGAGTTCTGGGAGCACAATCACGTTGAAGGATGTCAGACATGTTCCAGACCTTCGTCTCAATCTCCTGTCAGTGGTATGTCTTGACGAACAGGGGTATGAAAACCACTTTAACAGGGGCACCTGGAAAATGTCAAAGGGCGTTTTGACAATCGCTCGAGGACATGTTTGTGGCACATTGTACAAAACTCATTTGAGGATTTGTACGGATAGCCTCAATATTGCTGAGGAGACTACTCAGAATCTGTGGCATCTGAGGCTCGGCCACATCGGTGAGAAAGGGCTGACTACCTTGATTAAGAAGAACCTTATCAACATCGACAAGAATGCTGCACTGGGTCCTTGCAGTCATTGTCTGTTTGGTAAGCATCATAGAGTATCATTCAGTTCTACTTCAGCTAAAAGATCAGAGTTGTTAAGTTTGGTACACTCCGACGTCTGTGGTCCTTTCGAGGTGGAATCAATCGGTGGAAGCAGATATTTTCTGACTTTTATTGATGATGCTTCTCGGAAAGTGTGGGTGTATTTCCTGATTACGAAAGATCAGGTATTTGAGTGCTTCAAGACATTTCACGTCTTGGTGGAACGTGAAACGGGAAAGAAGCTGAAATGTCTCCGATCTGATAATGGAGGCGAGTATACTTCTAAGGCGTTCGATGCATATTGTAGAGAATATGGCATTCGACATGAGAAGACAGTACCACGCACCCCTCAGCACAACGGCGTTGCTGAAAGAATGAACCGGACTATCATGGAGCGTGTCCGGAGCATGCTGAATATGGCTAAGCTTCCGAAGTCATTCTGGGCAGAAGCAGTCAACACCACATGCTACCTTATCAACCGATCACCTTCGGTACCACTGAACTTTGAAGTTCCAGAGAGGTTATGGACAGGTAAGGATCCTACATACTCACATCTTAGAGTATTTGGCTGTTCATCATATGCACATGTATCCAAAGAGCTCAGGCAGAAGCTCGATCCAAGAACTATCCCATGCATTTTCGTTGGCTATGGAAATGAAGAGTTTGGATACAGGCTATGGGATCCTAAGGAGAAAAAGGTGTTCAGAAGTAGGGATGTTGTGTTCCACGAAGATTTGACAATAGAAGACATTGAAAAACCCACAATGTCTCAGAAGTCAAATGAGGGTGCTCAAGTTTCAAATGAAGCACCAGAAGAGGACAAAGTGCATGAAGATAACTCAGAAGCAGAAGAGGAGGAGACAGAAGAGAGTGCAGAGCAAGGGGAGACACAATCCACCCCGCCAGACACAGATGATGGTAGCTCTTCTCAGATGGTTCCTACTGTTCGTAGATCTGAACGAGGGCATATACCATCGACAAGGTACACATCATCCGAATATCTTTTGTTAACTGAAGATGGAGAACCGGAGAGTTTTCAAGAAGCTGTATCTCATAAGGATAAAGAAAAATGGCTAATAGCAATGCAGGATGAGTTAGAATCTCTGCAGAAAAATCAAACTTATGAGATCGTAGAACTTCCTAAAGGGAAGAAGGCACTAAGGAACAAATGGGTGTTCAAGCTGAAGAAGGATGCAAGCGGACAAGTGGTGAAACACAAAGCTCGGTTGGTTGTCAAAGGGTTCCAGCAGAAGAAAGGAATTGACTTTGATGAGATCTTTGCACCAGTTGTCAAGATGACCTCAATCCGAGTTATACTTGGCTTGGCAGCAAGTATGAACTTGGAGCTTGAACAGATGGATGTGAAGACAGCATTTCTTCATGGAGATTTGAAAGAAGAAATCTACATGCAGCAGCCGGAAGGTTTTGAGAACTCAAATGATAACTTTGTGTGTAAGTTATCTAAAAGTTTGTATGGCTTGAAGCAGGCACCAAGGCAGTGGAATAAGAAGTTTGACTCATGCATGAAGAGTCAAGGCTACAAGAAGACTACTGCGGATGAGTGTGTATACATCAAGAAACTTCCAGACGGTACTTTCATTGCTCTTCTACTATATGTAGACGACATGTTGATCGTTGGGAAAGATGCAGTGAAGATAAACCAACTGAAGAAAGAACTCTCTAAGTCTTTTGATATGAAAGACTTAGGACCGGCTCAACAGATTCTTGGGATGCAGATCACTCGAGACAGGAAGAATCGCAAGTTATGGCTATCTCAGGAGAAGTACATTGAACGAGTACTTGAGAGATTCAACATGAATGATGCCAAACCAGTAAGTGTTCCACTTGCGAATCACTTCAAGTTGAGCAAAAGAACATGCCCTACATCCAAGGAAGAGATCGGGGAGATGTCAGCAGTTCCATATTCTTCAGCAGTTGGGAGTGTGATGTACGCCATGGTATGCACAAGGCCAGACATCGCACAGGCAGTGGGTACAGTGAGTCGTTTTCTCTCTAACCCCGGGAAGGAGCATTGGGAGGCAGTCAAATGGATTCTCAGGTACTTGAAAGGTACCACGAAGTTATGCCTTTGTTACGGAGGAGCTGATCCAGTCTTGGAAGGCTACACAGATGCTGATATGGCCGGAGATACTGATAGTAGAAAGTCTACTTCAGGATATATCTACACTTTTGCAGGGGGAGCCGTTTCTTGGCAATCAAGATTGCAGAAGTGTGTCGCTTTATCTACAACAGAAGCAGAATACATTGCTGCCGCTGAAGCAGGTAAGGAAATGTTGTGGCTAAAGCGTTTTCTCCAAGAACTTGGGATCCAACAGAAAGAGTACAAGGTACATTGTGACAGTCAGAGTGCTCTAGACTTGAGCAAGAATTCTATGTACCATTCTCGTACAAAGCATATTGACATTCGGTATCATTGGATACGGGAGACGATTGATCAACAACTGTTGAGACTAGTGAAGATCAATACAAAGGAGAATCCATCAGACATGCTGACGAAGGTGGTAACACGGGATAAGCTAGAGCTGTGCAGAGACATAGTCGGGATGCTTGTTTTGAATATGCCTGGAAGGGGAGAATTGAAGAATTCAATTTCCAGGTCATATCCAAGTACAAGCAAATTGAAGAATCCAATTGCAACAACCATGAAGCTTCCTCCATGTGCAAGCAACAACCATGAAGCTTCCTCCATATGCAAGAATGACAAATGGAGCTTCCATACACCTAGGAGTGACCTTCCTTCCAACCACCATTGAAGCTTCCTTCCACCTTCATAGTACCTAGTTTTGGCGCTATAAATAGAGAGCTTGGAGAGTCTTTCTATCATCAAGCAGTTTAGATCATAGATTAGAATACCACAACCAAGTTTGAGTTGTGAATATCCTTGAGAGATATGTGAGGTGTTTTGAGAGTTTTTAGTTAGAGCTTGTATGTCTCTTCTTTCTATTCTTGAAAGTAATAGAAGTGTTTTTCTCTCAATTTAGCACGATCCTGTTATTCCCAACAGTCATTCACTCATATTTTGGGAAGTTTTAATCCAACTTACGGATTATAAATTTATTAATTTAGTATGAATAATATATCATATTTGAGGAATAAAACATGTTTGGTCATATTTTTGAATTTTGTCTATGTTTTAGTTCTAAATCGACCAATTTTTCATCAGAAAAAAAGAAACAGATTCACAAAAAATCACGTTAGTAATTTAAAATTAGCATATGCATAAGCCTATTAAAAAAAACAATTTAACTTATTCGTATGTAAGGAGTATATGCTACAGATATTTAAGCAGAGATTAAAAAAACAGGGTGTTTAATTAACTATTTAAGGATGAAAGTACCAATTTGCCTCCATCCAAGAGAATGTGAGAATGAGAAAGGAAAGCATAAAGATCCTTCTTGGTATGGTAGGTGCTAGATAATAGGGAATGGATGATTTTGAGACGATTTCATCAATATCGGGCGGCAAAAACTTCTTCCAAACGGTGTCCGATTCAGTTAAGCTAGATAATAGGGAATTGATGTTTTATACAAATACATTACTACTCAAGTACGATAAAGAGATGACAACATCTCGTGATAGTAGAAAGATCATGTTAAGCTAGAATGTACTCATGGACAAACTAGTGTACTGCAGTCAATATGCATATCGATCTGACAAGTTACTCTTTTGTTTTCATCGTCACTAGCTAGAAGTTGGCCTTTTCTTCCAAGGATTCTTAGGAAAATCCCCAATCCATCATACCTCCAAAAATAATTTCAAGCCGAAATACAATTCCTCCCACAACGAGAAATAGACCGAAGGGAAGAATAACCAACACACAAGACTCAACATCACCACAATTCCGTCCAATGTTGAAAAATGTTCCAATTTCCACCTCCAACCACCCGTCATCTCTAGAAATAGGAACCCGCACATTATAAGGCCATACTCTGCACCATCTTCATGAAAAATAAGGTGTGAAGCTCTACCTTGAGCCACATTTCTACCCTCATTGTCAACAAATCTAGACACTCCCCTGAATGAGTGGTTGATGTAGCCATGCTTCGACCATAGTTTGAAAACCAAATATGATGAGTACTGTGTTTCTTTAGATAATTTTTCACTGCTGATTCTACCAAAAATATCAAACATGTTGTTGTCCATTGAGTTCAGTACTGCCACATCAGTTTCCCTTTCAACCGATATTAAAAAAGGGTCTGTTTAATAGCTGACTAATTAAAACAAATTATATCTATAATAGAAGCAAAACCATGTATAACCTGGACCGTATTAGCTCTTGAGCCATATAGATGCGTTTTGAGAGTCATTCCTCTCGGTGAAAACAAGTGCTGAGGCTGCAACTATGAAACACTTCTTTACAGTTGTTTTATCCAGAAAAAACCCCTGCTTTCAAGATTTCAAAGGGCATCAGAAAGAACAACAGAAAGGCATCGTACGTACCAGTTTTTAACAGAAAGAGTCAAAGAACCCCTGCGTTTTTATGAAAAACAATTTAAGCAGAAATTGGAAATGGTGGGTATTTAACTGTTTAAGGATGCGAAATTTATTATTTTTTATTGATTTTTTTGGGACGTACCAGTTTGCCTCCATCAAGGGGAATGTGGGAATGAGAAAGGGAGATATAAAGTGTTGGATTATTTCCAATTAATATGGCCTAAGGACCAATATTAATATTTGTTCTATATTTATGTATTATATATATAATTATGTGTTATATATATGTGTATTATTTGATGGAAATAATACATAAGGGGTACCATTGTGGTAAAACCCTTTAGGACAATAAATGAAAGGTTGTGACTATTGGTTATTTCCAATATAAATAACTACTCTCCCTTCTCCAATGTGATCATACGGACAAACACAACACCATAACAAGAGGAGAGAGGACATCACAAACTCCTTACTATTGCATACTCCATCTATCATTGTCCTAAAAGGGATTACACATCCACTTCATTCAAGAGAAACAATGGCATCATCTTCTTCCAATCTCTCCCAAATGAACATTGGATACTCTCCAAGTAAGTTCCTATAAATTTACAATTATGATTAATTGTGTGATGTTATTTGATCTTGGTTATTATGATGATTAGTTTTTCCATCATTTGGTATCAGAGCCATTTTTCATAACATCGCCATAATTTTGTGTGACTAATATGTATCGAGTAGTATTTACATAAATCTGTCGTCCTTAAAATTTATCTGATGCATCTGCGATAAAAAACAACAGGTGTGTTAATAATCCCCATTTCGTAAAGTTGAAATGTTAGTGGAGTAAATACAACATACATAGTACTCCGTATGTTTTATGTAAATGGAGTAATTTGAAAAGGATAGATCAGATGGATGGCGATTTACGTATATTGATTAAAGTTGCTACCCAGTAAGTTTATTATGAGGCAGTTTATTAAGTTTGTTTATATGTCATGCTCTTACGAAGTACTTCGAATACTAAACCGTATTATAATAATATAATGGGTATACTTACTGGTTTTATAGAATGGTTACGTCTTTTGCACTTTCTCCAACAATGGTTGGACCGACATAAGTTAGTTGTTCTATTTTTTCTAGCGTAATCTTTTCATCATGAATCCTGCTAATTTTCTGTATACGTTTGAAAGTTTTTTATTACAGAATAAATTATTAATGTGGAGTGAATTATTAAGGTATAAATCAGTCTATAATTTTCAAATTATAAGGTGTACTATTAAGATTGTTTGTAAGCCTGCATTTAAAATGTTGTGAATTGTGATTACGGGGTTAATTTAAACTGATTTGAATTCATTACGTTGTTAATTTAAATGTCGGCCCAACGGAAGTCATTTAAGTTAATTTGGATAATTTTGCACCCCATTTATGCTCTCGAATCAGTATTATAAAAAATAAAATTGTATGATTTAATTTGGGATTTTGTGCAAATTGTATGTAACATTATACAATGAACCCAACGGCGAGTTGTTTAATGATATATATGATTGTAGTTTTGACTTTATGAACATAGACATCACATTTCTGCCTAAAGGTGATGTGGGATGCCTATGTAATATATTATAATGATTATAATGTCATTAAGTTTAATTATTGGAATTAGCCAAAGCGAAACCAATAATTAAACAAGACATTTTAGAGTCTATTATTTCGGTGTTGATAATAGATAATGTTTACTGACATACTTTATGTTAAATTGTCATTTTTAATTTTCTCTCGTTCAATCGTTATTGCATACACTTAAATTTTATAACTCCCCAATAGCCACTTTAACATCAAATTGTGGGATTGAACCCTTAACTGGCACTAACTTTGCATTATGGAGGGACAATGTAAGACTGACTCTTGGAGTTATGGATCTTGATTATGCCCTAAGACATGATCCTCCTGCTGCACTCACTGCTGAAAGTACTCAAGAGCATAAACGAGTGCATGAACAGTGGGAGAGATCAAATCGCATGTCTCTTATGATCATAAAGAATTCCATTTCGGTTGCCATTCGTGGAGCCATTCCGGATTCAGATAATGCGAAAATTTACTTGGACTCCGTAGAGGAGCAATTCAAGGGCACCTCCAAGGCTCATGCGAGTACATTAATCTTGCAAATGTTGACAAAGAAATATGATGGTGTGAGTGGTGTGCGTGAGCACATTATGATGATGAGTGACATGGCTAACAAACTTAAGAGCATGGATATGGAGATTAGTGAGGGCTTCTTAGTCCACTTCATTATGACCTCCTTGCCCGCACAATTTGGTCCTTTTAAAATTAACTATAACACTCAAAAGGAAAAATGGAAAATGAGTGAGTTAATTGCAATGTGTGTACAAGAGGAGGAGCGCCTCAAAGTGGAAAGGCCTGATGTCGCTCATCTCACAACCACAAACACTAGCAAGAGAAAGGGCAAGTTCAAGACTGGTGAAAGCTCAAAGGTCCACAAAACCGGAACAAGTGCGCTCGCGGGCTCAACCAATGCCAAGGGTCCTCCTCGTTGTAAATTTTGCCATAAGAAAGGGCATTTTCAACGAGAGTGCTCTAAGTTCAAGGAATGGTTAGCCAAGAAAGGTACACATCTATTTATGATTTATGAGTCATTTAATATAAGTGTTCCAATAAACACATGGTGGATTGATTCTGGTTCCATGGTTCATGTTACAAACTCCTTACAGGGATTCCATTCAATCCGGAGGTTGGAAAGAAACCAAAGGACCATTAAAATCGGGAATGGTGAAGAACTTAATGTTGAAGCTGTTGGTACCTTACCTTTAGTATTGGAAGGTGGCTTCTGCATGTATTTATATGAAACATTATATGTACCGAGCATTACTCGGAATTTAGTATCTGTACCTAAGTTAAACAATAATGGCTATGTATTAACTTTTAATAATGGTAAAGTTACTATATGTAAAGATTCCGATGTTGTTGGTTATGGTTGCTTAGAAGACAACCTTTATAAATTATGCTTGGATGATACATTTTGGAAATCCTTGTTGTCATATAATATCAATGAAAATCCAATCAAAAGAAAACGAGACTTGGAAGCTTCATCCATGTTATGGCATCAACGTTTAGGCCACATTTCACGGAATCGAATGCTAAGGCTCGTGAAGGATGGAATATTACCATCTCTTGATTTTAGTGATTTTGAAACATGTGTAAAATGCCTTAAAGGGAAAATGGCAAAGGGAAATAAAAGAGGAGCCACAAGGAGTTCCGGTTTACTGGAATTAATTCATACTGACATTTGTGGTCCTTTTCCCGCTGGGATAACTGGACATAAGTCATTTATCACTTTCATAGATGATTATTCCCGATATATGTATTTGTACTTAATCAATGAAAAATCTGATGCACTTGAAATGCTCAAAACCTTTAAGGCCGAGGTTGAGAATCAACTCGATCGTAAGATAAAGGTAGTAAGATCAGATAGAGGAGGCGAGTATTATGGTAGACATACTGATATAGGTAAAGCTCCCGGACCCTTCTATGAATTTTGTAAGGAACATGGGATCGTGAATCAATTTACCATGTCGGGTACTCCTCAGCAAAACAGTGTCGCTGAGAGAAGAAATAGGACCCTTATGGACATGGTACGAAGTATGTTAGCCAATACACGCCTACCTAAGTTTCTATGGACCGAGGCCTTAAAAACTGCAGTTCATATACTCAATAGGGTTCCTTCTAAATATGTTCCTAAAACCCCTTAGGTATATGAAAGTATGGGGCTGCCCGGCTGAAGCCAAGCTTTATAATCCCCAACAAAGGAAGCTCGACATGAAAACCGTCAGTTGCTCCTTTATAGGATACCCTGAACGCTCAAAGGGGTATCGATTTTATTGCCCGTCTCACACTACTCGCATTGTTGAGACTCGACATGCTGAGTTCCTAGAGAACTCAAACATTAGTGGGAGCAAGTGTATTGATGATGTTGAATTACAAGAAGAAGTGCAAGAGGAGGGGGGAATGTTCTCTATACCTTTTCAACCTCTTGTACCTCTTGTAGACAATAGTACCCTGCCAAGTTCATCTGTCGAAGGTAATGCTGCTCCCTATGTGCCACAAAATGAAGAAACATCAGCTTTTGAGGAAAATAATGAAATATCTCAAGCTGGGCAAATCCCCGAAGTTATCACTAAGCTTCAAGAGCCTGAACCACCATTGAGAAGATCACAAAGATCTAGACAGCCTACTAATTTTGATGATTATGTTATCTATCTTAATGAGGCCGATCTAGGAAAATGTGATGATCCGACCTCTTATAATGAGGCCCTTTGTAGTGACCAATCTACTCAATGGAATGAAGCAATGATTGACGAGCTTGATTCCATGAGTAAAAATGACGTATGGGAACTTGTTGAATTGCCTAATGGTGTAAAACCAGTAGGATGCAAGTGGGTCTTCAAAAAAAAAATTAGATGCAAATGGAAACGTCGAGCGCTTCAAAGCGCGATTGGTCGCCAAAGGCTACACCCAAAAGGAGGGAGTTGATTACAAGGAGACTTTCTCTCCTGTTTCAAGAAAAGATTCCCTAAGGATTGTTATGGCCTTAGTAGCTCATTTCGACTTAGAGCTACATCAAATGGATGTTAAGACTGCTTTTCTTAATGGTGATTTACATGAAGATGTATATATGACTCAACCGGAAGGTTTTACGACTAAGGGTCAAGAACATCTGGTGTGCAAACTTAAGAAATCAATATATGGGCTAAAACAAGCATCACGCCAGTGGTATCTAAAATTTGATGAAGTCATGAAAAAGAACGACTTCTATAAAAATCAAGTGGATCAGTGTATCTACCTCAAAATGAGTGGGAGCAATTTTGCGATACTCGTTCTTTACGTTGATGATATCCTCTTGGCAAGTAACAGTGTCGATTTGTTGCATGAGTCAAAACGATTACTTTCACGACACTTTGACATGAAAGATCTCGGAGAGGCCTCTTATGTTATAGGCATCGAAATTCACCGAGATCGGACCAATAGGACATTAGGACTGTCTCAAAAGGCATACGTGGAACGTATACTCGGACGATTTAATATGCAACATTGTTCTCTCTCAGTTGCTCCCGTTGTTAAAGGAGATGTTTTTGGCTCATTTCAATGTCCAAAAATGGAATTAGAAAAGGATCAAATGAGGTTGATTCCTTACGCATCCATAGTTGGAAGTTTGATGTATGCTCAAGTTTGTACTCGTCCCGATATCGCTTACATATCCGGTATGTTAGGCCGATATCAGCATAATTCTGGCCTTGATCATTGGAAGGCTGCTAAGAAGGTCTTACGATATCTTCAGGGGACTAAGGATTACACACTGACTTATAAAGGAACAAACGATTTAGAAGTAACGGGATATTCCGACTCCGATTTCGCTAAATGCAAAGACGATAGAAAATCGACGTCGGGATACATTTTTATGATGGCAGGCGGGCCCATTTCATGGAGGAGTCAGAAACAACAATTGACCACTACCTCTACTATGATGGCTGAATATGTTGCTGTTTATAACGCAACATGTCACGGAATGTTGTTGAGGAATTTGATCAAGGGACTCAAAATAGTTAACTCCATTTCAAGACCGTTGAAGATTTATTGTGATAATTCTGCCGCCGTGAGTTTTTCAAATGGAAATAGTTCGAGCGGGGCCGGATTATATCTCGATACAAAGTTCTTGTTTGTACGTGAACGAGTTGAAGAAAATAATCTTTCTATCGAGTACATTAGCACTCATGATATGCTTGCGGATCCGATGACAATAGGTCTACCACCCAAGATTTTTCAAGAACATGTGATGAAAATGGGTTTTAGTCGAGACCTCACTTAATTGGCATAGTGCTCTTATGAACAATTCATGTATATAAATAAATACTTGAATTCTTAATTGTCTATTATATGTACACCGTGCGCACTAACTTTGGTATCATGGACAAATTAATATTGATTACCACATTACATTTGATCATTTATGTTTAATGACCTTAATGTCCTAATACATGTGCTATAGTATGATTAGTGGGGGTCCCGTATCTAAATAGATGCGAGTGGCTGTACTTCTCTATTATAGTATAGATATTGGGTATTTAGAACACATGCTTGGCCAACTAATTAGCAATTATTGGTCACTAGGCCAAGTGGGAGAATGTTGGATTATTTCCAATTAATATGGCCTAAGGACCAATATTAATATGTGTTCTATATTTATGTATTATATATATATAATTATGTGTTATATATATGTGTATTATTTGATGGAAATAATACATAAGGGGTACCATTGTGGTAACACCCTTTAGGACAATAAATGAAAGGTTGTGACTATTGGTTATTTCCAATATAAATAACTACTCTCCCTTCTCCAATGTGATCATACGGACAAACACAACACCATAACAAGAGGAGAGAGGACATCACAAACTCCTTACTATTGCATACTCCATCTATCATTGTCCTAAAAGGGATTACACATCCACTTCATTCAAGAGAAACAATGGCATCATCTTCTTCCAATCTCTCCCAAATGAACATTGGATACTCTCCAAGTAAGTTCCTATAAATTTACAATTATGATTAATTGTGTGATGTTATTTGATCTTGGTTATTATGATGATTAGTTTTTCCATCATAAAGTTCCTTCTTGGTGGGTGGTAAATCAAAGGGAGTGGAAGATTTTAAGATGATGTCATCTATGACTATATCCGACGGCAAGAACTTCTTCCATACGGTGTCGGACTCAGTTGCCGATTTGAAGCGTTTGGAGATGACGGAAAGCGCCGATGCATCGGCCGGCGAAGTGAAGGAAACGATTTCAAAGATGCATCCCTCCGGCAGTTTCGCGAACAGGTCCATATTGGCCAGAAAGCTAAGCACGAGTACTATACTTTATGGGAGCATGCAATATACGTGTAGAAGAAAATCGGTGTACACATTCTTGCTTCATATACAAGTCTAAAAATGCCTCTCGATCAAGAATAAGTTGAATATCAAAAGAATTGTTAATAGAAGTACATTTTTGTCTTTTCATACAGGATTGGGGTGCAAAAACAAGGGTTTTTGAAAACGGGGTGCAAAGTCCAATTTTTATTTTACAATAATATGGGGTGGAAACTCAAATTAACACTTGCCAATTATATAAAGTATAAACCTTTGGCAGCTCAACGGGTTGAGTTTCATTATTATTTATTAGTGAATATATGTGTATATCTGATTAATAATACTCACTCCTTCCTTAATAACTTTGCCAAATTTGACCGGCACGAGGATTAATAAAGTAAAAACTGTGTGGTTGAGATTTGCGCAGAGGAGAGAGAATTAACTGGAACCACAAATTCTATATTTTAAATGAGAAAGTGACAAAATTAATGAGAAATCCCAAAAAAAAAATTGACAAAGTTATAAGAGAGGGAGTAAGTGATAATTACTTTTAGCAATTCTTCATCGGGAAATGTGGCGTACGGCTCAAAGCAAATCCATGGACGATAGTTGTAACTTGTAAATGAACATGTCTTAAAATGGCAGACACGTTACGTTCTTATTGATTAACAAAAAATATATATTCACCACTATTAAAACATTAATTAGTTTTTAAAAATTTGATAAAACAACTAATTAATGGAAAAGGTACTATGATCACAAAAAGTAGGTAGAGAAAACATTTAGAGCACCTTTGGTAGCATCGACATTTGGTGATTTGACTGATTCTATTGAAATTTATGAAGTTCTGGATGAGCTGATTCTGCTGATTTATGAAAAACATTATATTTGAAATGTTTGTTATTAATTAATAAAATAAAAATTATATGAAAAATAACTAAAATGATCATCTACACTCACTTCAGCCAATACATCCATAAAAGTAACTTGAACCTTACTTTTTCTTATAATTACATAATTCAGCACGGGCAGCGGCGGAGCTAGAGCACTGGACCGGAATGGGCCTGTACAAATAACATTTATCGGAAAAAGTTCTAAAACGTGGAGCTCTGAAATACCTTTGATTTGATATATTATGGGTCATGTAACTCTTTATGAGTAAAAAGTTAAGACTTCTAAAAAAATCAGCATCATCTTAACTTGAAATAAACATATTTGATGTGTGACATTTATTATATTCCTAAATTTAACAATAAAACACCTTATTCAGTCATTAGTTATGTGAGCATTATGATACATTACATATATATCAATACATTAACAGAAAAATGCTCATTAAACTACCATTTATCTCAGTTACATATGAAATATTTAACTCAAGTATTGTATAATAACTATTCATCATTTTGATACTGACATACTGTATATAATTAAATTCCGACCCCCCTCACACATTTTTCTTGCTCTGCCCCTGAGTGGGATGCATAAATAAATGAATGAATACCTGTTGGGTTCCCTCCTTAATTGAGAAGTTAATGAGAATTCTAGAATAGTGCGAAGATGTCTAGAATTCTCTATATGTGTGTAGAGAAGTATTGAATGTTCTAGAATATTCTGGAGCTTTCTAGAGAGACATGGAATTATCTAGAAGCGTGTGGAAGAGTGTAAAATATTCTAGAACATTGTGGAGCTTTCTAGAGAAGTGTGGAATTCTCTAGAATCGTGCGGAAGTGTGTAGAAGTCTCTAGAATAGTGTTGTATAGAGAATTCTAGAGAAGCTTTGAGAAGAGTTGTATAAATAGATGGGTGAGACTCCTCATTTCTAAATGAGAGTCATGAGGAGGCATTGAGGGTGAGCCTCATGTGAGTGAGCCTAGAGAGAGAGTCTCCTCAAGTGATGAGAGAGACAGAGAGCCTTGAGGAGAGCTCTTGAGTGAGTGAGTGCCTCCTTGAGAGACAGGTGTGAGAGTGAAGTAGTGTCATATACAAAGAGTGAAGTGAGCTATCCATTTACTTGTAAAATATCTCTTGTACATTTCAATTGTATAATACAAAGTGAAATTGTTAGATTATCCATTTAGACTTGCAAATGGCAAAGGCAGGGCCGGCTAGAAACCCAGCTACAAACTGCCTTCATAAGGTTGCTGCCGCAGCCTCCATTACCCAATGATTCCTAATAGTGACCATACTTTTTCGCTTTGTTTTGCTTCTTTTAATGGTTATGTATGTACTTCAGATTCTTATCTCTAATCAATGTATTATTATGCACAATGAAGCATAGATATTATATAAATATAAAACTAATTAACAATATCAATTCAGCCCCTTTCTCCGATATAAATATATGTCAGCGCCTATTGCTAATACAAAAAGGGGGTTAAGACTAAAATAATACTAAAAGTCAAGATCTGGACAAAAAAAAGACATTAGTCTACAATCTTCCATAAAAGAGGCTAATTATTATCAAGAAGACCATTATACCCTGCCACCAACGTCATACTGACTACTTGTAACACTGACGTGTCAGCTACAGTGACCTCCGACCCGCCCACAGTGACCTCCGCCTCCGTCCGCCGGCGGTCACAGTGACCATTTAGTCAGTTACCACCGGCGGGCATAGTGACCTGCTGCTCACAGGTCAATTACTACCGCCAACCACTGCAGGCCCCTGCCGATGACTTGCCGCCAGTGACCCTCGTCAGTGACCTACCCCCGGTGACTCGCCGTCAGTGCCATTCGTTCAGTGACATAATATTTTCCGATGGTACACCACCAGTTCCTCCGCCCTGCTCCCACCAGCCCCACTCATCCTCCTCCAGTCCCTCCCATAACGTACAAACCTCGCCCCTTGCACAACTAGCGCACAACGACCCCCCATCTCCGCTTAGCAATCGATCTGAACCCTAGCCTTTCGGATCTAAACCGCCACAGCCGAAGAGATTATCTTACCATGGAGGCATGAATCATAGATAAGGTATTGATTTTTATGATTATCTTAGCAGCGCCATTCACATGGGCCAATTGATAGCAAGTACACCCACCCGTCAAGCTAGAATGTAACGAATGTTTATGTACTTAAGGGAAAATTATTGTAGGAACATAATCAATATGTATATTTCAACATGAAAAGTTACTTTTTTCGCTTCAAATACTAGCTAGTTATTGTTCTAACTAGAAATTCAATTTTTCTTCCAGGAATTCTTTAAAAATTCCACAATCGCTCATATCTCCAAAAATAGTTTCAGGCCGAAATTCAATCCCTCGCACAATGAGGGATTGGCCGAACTGCAGACAAAGATTAAACACACAAGATTCAACATCACTGCGATTCCCTTCCGCGTTAAAAAAAGTCCCAATTTCCACCTCGAACCACCCGTCCTCTCTAGAAACAGGAATTCGCACATACGAGTTCATTCTATCACGCACAACTCTACCTTCATTGTCAACAAATCTACACCCAGTGAATGAGACATTGAAGTAGCTACGCTTCGGTGATAGTTTGTACACCAAATAGGATGAGTAGTGTGTTTCTTCAGATAGCTTTTGAGGGGTAATTCTCCCAAGAATGTTAAACATCCTACCGGCCATTAAGTTCAGTACAGCCACATCAGATGACCTTTACCAAAAAAAGGTTTACTTAACATTTGACTTATTAAAAGAAATCATAAATTAAGTAGGAGCCAAACATTCAATAACCCGTCTCTATTAAAGAACATGTGCAGTGAATAACCTGGCGAATATTAGCTCTTGTACCATAATCTGGCCATTTGAATAAATCTTCTCAGTGAAAACAAGTTCTGAGGGTGCAACTATGAAACATTTCTTTCCTGTGCTTTTCTCGAGAAAGAAACCCTATTTTCAAGATTTCAAAGGTTATCCGAAAAGAGAAAATTTCTTAAATAAAACTAAAAGAAGGACCAAATTCATAATTATGATTATCATTATCTTATTTTCAAAATAGGAGTCACTAGCTCACTCGTATTTTGGGAAGTTTTAATCCAAGGATGCACGTACCAATTTGCCTCCATCGAGGAGAATATGGGAATGAGAAAGGAGAGCATAAAGATCCTTCTTGGTGGGTGCTAAATAAGAGGGAATGGATGATTTTGAGACGATTTCATCAATATCGGGCGGCAAAAACTTCTTCCATACGCTGTCCGATTCAGTCGCCGATTTGAAGCGTTTGGAGATGACGGAAAGCGCCGATGCATCGGCCGGCGAAGTGAAGGAAACGATTTCAGCGATGCATCCCTCCGGCAGTTTCGCGAAAAGGTCCATAGCGGTCATCTGATCTGTTGCACTAAGCCACTAAATTCTCGGAGAGAGGCGATTACAAGAGATTTTATAGATCTAATTACGCAATTACGAAAATATGGAAGTACGTGATCACCAAGGAAAGAGCTGATTACACGTGATTTTAACTCTACAACTAAAAAATCGGGAATACGTGACCAAGGATAATTACCTAATTTGGAAATTAGGGGTCTATAGTAATATACTATACGAGATATAATTACTTAAATACACTTTATTTTTGGGAAATTATCACGAATAGATTTAAAAGTGAAAGAAATATCACTTTTCTCACTCTCCAATTTATTTTTCAAAAGTAGACTACTCAACTTTTTTCTTTTAAAAATAGAAATAGTTCGGCACTTCCGCATGACCGCATCCACTGCTTGCATTGGAGTTCCGTATCCCAGATCACTAGGAGTTTCGTATCCTAGTTCTGTACAGGGCCGAACCCTCTCTTGAGGCAAAGAGGCAGTTGCCTCAGACTCCAAAAATTTGGTCAATAATAGGGGTGATTTACCTAAAAACGGGAAAAATGGGTTGGGGTTGCCAAAACACGAGGATTTTTTACCAAAAAATGGGAGTCAGAACTCCCAATTCCGACTAGGATTTAGGGTTTCGAAAAAAACTTCTCACTCCCCTGGTCGGATTACCCAATTCCGACTAGGATTTAAATTATTATTTTTTTGCCGAATTCTTAGGTTTTTTATTTTGAGTTTTAAAAACTAATAGTTGTAGGGCTAAATTCTATACATTCCAAATTTAAAAGTTTTTTTAGATTCCTGACATATTTTTTAAAATGAAAACTTAGCATTTTGATTTTTTGAGTAACCAAACATTTGATTGCTTTATATTGTTTTTTAATCCATTTGTATTGCCAATTTTATTTTAATTGCAATTTTTGTAATTTTTAGTGCAATTTTGATTTAATCCATTCGTCAAATTAGATACAAATTTGATTTTGTTTTAAGTGCAATTTTTGTAATTTTAATGGAAGTGAACAAAACAAATGTAGTTTTCAATGTAATTTATTAATGAATAGATAGTACATACAATATTAAATTTAATACTACATCTAACGTTGCGAGCTCGCCCCTGTTCCGTCCCCACCGCCAGTGTTCCAAGGCCCCGTTGTGTCTCCATAGTAAAACGACGAATTGAGAAATGACTCAACATAATCATCCGCTTGTGTGGAGCACTGATAAGAATCATAATACGGCGGTGGTTGATCAAATGAGACACCTTGATGCGTTGAGAATTGAGGGGGTGGTTGATGAAATGAGACACCCTGTGTTGAGAATTGAGGGGGCGATTGTGAGTCCTCACCCCCACCTTCATGTTCATCTGCATCATCCTCTTCATCACTTCCACCTTCATCTTCATCTTCGTAATGGAATATGCCCCGATGGAGCATCTCTTCATCACCTACGTCTAGGGCCATCTGTCGTAGTCGTTTTTGACAGTCCTCATAACTCGTGCGGTCGGCTAAGAGCTGATACACCTCGCGAACGCCTTGTTCCAACTGCCTGGCTCGCGCTCCAACTGCCTGGAGCGCGCTCCAAATGCCTGGAGCGTGCTCCAACTGCCTGGAGACTGCCTGGAGCGCGCTCCAACTGCCTGGAGCGCGCTCCAACTGCCTGGAGCGCGCTCCAACTGCCTGGAGCGTGCTCTAACTGCAGTTGGAGCGCGCTCCAACTCCCTGGAGCGCGCTCCAACTTCCTGGAGCACGCTCCAACTGCCTGGAGCGCGTTCCAACTGCTTGGAGCACGCTCCAACTTCCTCAAGCGCGCTCCAACTGCCTGGAGCGCGCTCCAACTGCCTGGAGCGCGCTCCAACTGCCTGGAGCGCGCTCCAACTGCCTGGAGCGCGCTCCAACTGCCTGGAGCGCGCTCCAACTGCCTGGAGCGCGCTCCAACTGCCTGGAGCGCGCTCCAACTGCCTGGAGCGCGCTCCAACTTCCTCAAGCGCGCTCCGACTGCAGTTGGAGCGCGCTCCAACTGCCTGGAGCGCGCTCCAACTGCCTAGCATGCTCTAACTGCAGTTGGAGCGCGCTCCAACTGCCTGGAGCGCGGTCCAACTGCCTGGAGCGCGCTCCTACTGCCTGGAGCGCGCTCCAACTGCCTGGAGCGCGCTCCAACTGCCTGGAGCGCGCTCCAACTGCCTGGCTCGCGCTCCAACTGCATGGAGCGCCCTTCAACTGCCTGGTTTTCTCTCCAACTGCCTGGAGCACCCTTCAACTACCTGGAGCACGCTCCAACTGCCTGGAGCACTCGAACTTCCTGGAGACAGCCTGGAGCGCGCTCCAACTGCCTGGAGCGCGCTCCAACTGCCTGGCTCGCGCTCCAACTGCCTGGAGCGCGCTCCAACTGCCTGGAGCGCGCTCCAAATGCTTGGAGCGCGCTCCAACTGCCTGGAGAGCGCGCCAACTGCCTGGAGAGCGCGCCAACTGCCCGGCTCGTGCTCCAACTGCCTGGATCGCGCTCCAACTGACTGGAGCGCGCTCCAACTGCCTGGAGTGCGCTCCAACTGCCTGGTCCGCGCTCCAGTTGCCTGGAGCGCGCTCCAACTGCCTGGAGCGCTCCAACTGCCTGGCTCGCGCTCCAACTGCCTGGAGCGTGCTCTAACTGAAGTTGGAGCGCGCTCCAACTGCCTGGCTCGCGCTCCAACTGCATGGAGCGCCCTTCAACTGCCTGGTTTTCTCTCCAACTGCCTGGAGCACCCTTCAACTACCTGGAGCACGCTCCAATTGCCTGGAGCGCGCTCCAACTGCCTGGCTCGCGCTCCAACTGCATGGAGCGCCCTTCAACTGCCTGGTTTTCTCTCCAACTGCCTGGAGCACCCTTCAACTACCTGGAGCACGCTCCAACTGCCTGGAGCACGCTCCAACTGCCCGGAGCACTCGAACTTCCTGGAGACTGCCTGGAGCGCGCTCCAACTGACTGGAGCGTGCTCCAACTGCCTAGCATGCTCTAACTGCAGTTGGAGCGGGCTCTAACTGCAGTTGGAGCGTGCTCCAACTGCGTGGAGCGCGCTCCAACTGCGTGGAGCGCGCTCCAATTGGCTGCAGCGCGGTCCAACTACCTGGAGCGCGCTCCCCATGCCTGGAGCGCGCTCCAACTGCCTGGAGCGCGCTCCAACTGCCTGGAGCGCGCTCCAACTGCCTGGAGCGCGCTCCAACTGCCTGGAGAGCTCCAACTGCCTGGCTCGCGCTCCAACTGCCTGGAGCGTGCTCTAACTGCAGTTGGAGCGCGCTCCAACTGACTGGAGCGCGCTCCAACTGCCTCGCATGCTCTAACTACAGTTGGAGCGTGCTCTAACTGCAGTTGGAGCGCGCTCTAACTGCCTGGAGCGCGGTCCAACTGCCTGGAGCGCGCTCCAACTTCCTCAAGCGCGCTCCAACTGCCTGGAGCGCGCTCCAACTGCCTGGAGCGCGCTCCAACTGCCTGGAGCGCGCTCCAACTGCCTGGCTCGCGCTCCAACTGCATGGAGCGCCCTTCAACTGCCTGGTTTTCTCTCCAACTGCCTGGAGCACCCTTCAACTACCTGGAGCACGCTCCAACTGCCTGGAGCACTCGAACTTCCTGGAGACAGCCTGGAGCGCGCTCCAACTGCCTGGAGCGCGCTCCAACTGCCTGGCTCGCGCTCCAACTGCCTGGAGCGCGCTCCAACTGCCTGGAGCGCGCTCCAAATGCTTGGAGCGCGCTCCAACTGCCTGGAGAGCGCGCCAACTGCCTGGAGAGCGCGCCAACTGCCCGGCTCGTGCTCCAACTGCCTGGATCGCGCTCCAACTGACTGGAGCGCGCTCCAACTGCCTGGAGTGCGCTCCAACTGCCTGGTCCGCGCTCCAGTTGCCTGGAGCGCGCTCCAACTGCCTGGAGCGCTCCAACTGCCTGGCTCGCGCTCCAACTGCCTGGAGCGTGCTCTAACTGAAGTTGGAGCGCGCTCCAACTGCCTGGCTCGCGCTCCAACTGCATGGAGCGCCCTTCAACTGCCTGGTTTTCTCTCCAACTGCCTGGAGCACCCTTCAACTACCTGGAGCACGCTCCAATTGCCTGGAGCGCGCTCCAACTGCCAGGCTCGCGCTCCAACTGCATGGAGCGCCCTTCAACTGCCTGGTTTTCTCTCCAACTGCCTGGAGCACCCTTCAACTACCTGGAGCACGCTCCAACTGCCTGGAGCACGCTCCAACTGCCCGGAGCACTCGAACTTCCTGGAGACTGCCTGGAGCGCGCTCCAACTGACTGGAGCGTGCTCCAACTGCCTAGCATGCTCTAACTGCAGTTGGAGCGGGCTCTAACTGCAGTTGGAGCGTGCTCCAACTGCGTGGAGCGCGCTCCAACTGCGTGGAGCGCGCTCCAATTGGCTGCAGCGCGGTCCAACTACCTGGAGCGCGCTCCCCATGCCTGGAGCGCGCTCCAACTGCCTGGAGCGCGCTCCAACTGCCTGGAGCGCGCTCCAACTGCCTGGAGCGCGCTCCAACTGCCTGGAGAGCTCCAACTGCCTGGCTCGCGCTCCAACTGCCTGGAGCGTGCTCTAACTGCAGTTGGAGCGCGCTCCAACTGACTGGAGCGCGCTCCAACTGCCTCGCATGCTCTAACTACAGTTGGAGCGTGCTCTAACTGCAGTTGGAGCGCGCTCTAACTGCCTGGAGCGCGGTCCAACTGCCTGGAGCGCGCTCCAACTTCCTCAAGCGCGCTCCAACTGCCTGGAGCGCGCTCCAACTGCGTGGAGCGCGCTCCAACTGCCTGGAGCGCGCTCCAACTGCCTGGCTCGCGCTCCAACTGCATGGAGCGCCCTTCAACTGCCTGGAGCGCGCTCCAAATGCCTGGCTCGCGCTCCAACTGCCTGGTTTTCTCTCCAACTGCCTGGAGCACCCTTCAACTACCTAAAGCGCGCTCCAACTGCCTGGAGCGTACTCCAACTGCCTGGAGCGCGCTCCAACTGCCTGGAGCGTGCTCTAACTGCACTTGGAGCGCGCTCCAATTGCCTGGAGCACTCGAACTTCCCGGAGACTGCCTGGAGCGCGCTCCAACTGCCTGGAGCGCGCTCCAACTGCCTGCAGCGCGCTCCAACTGCCTGGAGCGCGCTCCAACTGCCTGGAGCGCGCTCCAACTGCCTGCAGCGCGCTCCAACTGCCTGGAGCGCGCT